GGGGGGAAGAGTCTTCGTCCAACGTATTTAAATCTGAACAAGATAAAAACAAAGATTCGTCATGTTCCAAAACTGGCCTTGCAAATCCCAATGAGTTTTCTTCCTCTGCAGACTCCTGCTTTTCCATCTTATTCTTAGGGTACTTACAAATTCTTTCTTAGTTTATTTTGGCTTCAGAGATGACTTTATTGTTAGAACTGGCATATGATGCTTCTGCTGCTGGTGTTTTCTGTATTATATCTTTTCGTCACTCTGCAGCCTCCCTGATTGCCCAGGCTTCACACACTGAGAAGTCAATGTCAACCTTTAAACATCCCTTTAAAGTGTGAGAAGCCGGGGGGGGGGGTGCAGAACTCTGAAGAGATGAGCATATAATCGTTCACCTGCTCCTTGACCATTTCAACACTAAATAAGTGTAAGAAATCACACTCCACCGATGAACATTTCCCCCACCTGGTCTTCTCCTTTGAAAGAAATCTTAAAAACAACTTTGCTGTCTCCAAGCTGAATGAAAACTAGTAGAAAAAATAGGCACAATGTTTCTGTATGGTACTATACAAAGCAAAAATGGAGTATCAGGGCTTAAAACTGAGGGCACTTGGAGAAAAGCAGCTTTTCATTTCTCAGCCCTTCCACGTCTAATCTAAAAAGGTCTCTGCAATTGATCTGAGCTGTTTGCAGATCCAGTCCATTTCCCCATTTCTTACATCTCTTCCTGCTGGGCGTTCAGTTGCCCAGGGTGTAAATAACCGGAATTAATTAGCAATAGACCAGCTGGAACCATTTTCTCTGGAGCAAAGCTTGTCAGTTTCAGCAAGAGTGACTGCCTTGAAACACACATTCCTGGCCACAGAGACCTATTCAGATGTTCTGCAGTGGTAAGCTCTTGATTAGAGTGTTACTTGATCACCAGGGGACTCATTCCATGCCAAAATGGAGAGTCTGCTCTTGCCTGCTAACCCTCTCAGTGTTGAGTAGTCCTTGATTATATTTCAGGCACAAATTCTCTGGTGTCTGCAGAAAGAAATATTACCCCATCTTTTAGGGTGTTAAGGCTCATTGTCCTTATGAACTTAGAACTCCTGTATGAAATAGATGCACAGCGGTAGCAATAACATACAATACGTTGGAAGTAATTATATTTTGTTATCATCAGGCCTGCTTTGCTGATTTTTTTTTAATTTGTGGCCAAGAAATCTTTCAAATTGCAAAGAGAGCTATTGAAGAATCCTAGCGATAAGAAATGAGCTTGATTTAAAAATGCCCTTTATGAGCACCACCATTAACTTGAGGGTGTCCTTGAGGGAGATCCTGTAGTCACAGTTTGGTCACTCTTTTACATTTGACACACACGTCATAACGTATTGTGCTCTGAAAACAGCTGAGCTTTACATGGTGATTACACGGCATACGTTGCCGTGCACTTCTTTTCAACTTAATACTTGGGTGGTGTGTTCGTGCAGAGCTACTGGATATGGCTCCAGGAAAAAAGCACTAACCATTCTGCAAATTTGTCCTGAAAGCTTAGTGCAAAAGCGTGTGACTTTCAGCGTAGTTGAGATGCTGATTTTCTAACCCTGCTGACAGCTGAAAGCAGAGAGTCTCATGAAATTAAGATTGTCTCACATCATGGCGTGCAACCACCAAAGGCCAGAGGAGCAATTCCTGATTTGCAGAAGAGCACATACTTCCAAGAACCCCTACTCTGTAATTTTAATCAAAATGAACATGACTGCACGAAACAGGCAGGCATTCCTTAGTGGTTCTAGATAAAAGCTAAAGTTGAAAGGGAAAAAAAGGTTTTCTAGTCTGCACATCACAATTCTGTCTAGTTAATTATACCAAGTTTTGTTTTACCCACTTTCTCATGTATCAAGCTTTAATGCACCCAACCCCTCCCAAAATCTATAACAAAATGCATGCATTTATTTAGTTATGAATATATGCAATTTCTGTACACAGGTTTTCAAATATTCACATTTTTGTACACACCTGTTCTAATATAAGCATTTGGGAAAAGAGATTTTCTGGAAGACGATGCATTTTTGTATCTCTCTGAGGCGCCTCAGGAGTTCACGGCCACCATGATGGCCATGGGCCTATCCCAGGTCATCCAGAGCCAGACACGGGACAGTTGTCACGCCGAATCTGGTATTCCTGGCAGAGCAGTGGCTTTGTGATCTGCAACTGGGGGAGCTTTCGGTGTCCCCTTGTCATGGTCAGATTGCACCCTGATTACCATGGGGTTCTCTGGCGCCCCTATCCACTGCAGGGAGGCTGGACCCATTAGATTAATCAACCCGCAGCAACTGATGGACTCAGAAGGGTTTCGGAGGGAGCTGGGGGCTGTTCCCCTCAGTTTGCTGCATGGTCCCTTCAAAGCCTTGGTTGCCGCTTGGAACAAGGGGGTGGCTGAGGTGTTGGATGGGACCTCTCCCCTCTCGAGGATCCTGTCACTCCCTGTGGCTTACAGAGGAGCTGAGGGAGATGAAATGGGAGAAGAGATGTCTAGAATGTGTGGGGTACCGCAGGGGTCAGTGCTGTCTCCTCCCCTATTCAACATCTACATGAGACCACTGCACGAGCTCATCCATCGCCATGGCGTGAGGTATCACCAGAATGCTGATGATGCCCAACCGTACATCTCTGCTCCTGGCGAATTAAGTGACGCTGTGAACATCTTATCCTGATGTCTGGAGGCTGAGAGGGACTGGTTGGGGAACAACAGGCTTCAGCTGAACCCTGGCAAGACTGAGTGGCTTTGGGTTTTGGGGTCCTCCGGTTCTAAGACTATGCCATCTTTGCTGCTGGAAGCGGTTGCATTGCCCCAAACAGACCCTGTGTGCAATCTGGGGGTCCTCCTGGACTCACGATTCCTGCTCGATGAGCAGGTGGCAGTCATGGCTAGGAGGGCTTTTGCACAGTATTGTGAGCCAGTTGTGCCTGTTCCTAGATTGAGAGGCCCTATTCTCGATCATTCTTGCTCTGGTCTCCTTCCAGTTGGACTATTGTAATGCGCTCTACGTGGGGCTGCCCTTGAAGAGAATCCTGAAACTTCAGCTGGTGCAAAATGCAGCAGTGTGAGCAGTTATGCGTGCCTCTAGGCTGGTACACGTTACACCCCTGCTTCGCGAGCTGCACTGGTTACGAGTTTGTTTCTGGGTCCAATTCAAGGTGCTGGTGTTGGCCTTTGAAGCCCTACGTGGCTTGGGACTGGGTTACCTGAGGGACCAGCAGAGAGGGCTTGTTACGGGTTCCATTGCCTAGGGGGCTACATTTGATGGGCCCTAGGCAGTGGGCCTTTTCTGTTGTGGTCCCTGCGCTGTGGAATCTCCTGCCCCTTGAGGTGAGGCTGGCTCCACTGCTTCTGGTCTTCTGCAGTCCCTCAAGACCTGGTTGTGCCATCAGGCCTGGGGACCCCAGGGACTGGCAAACTAGTGAGGTGGCTCCATTATTATTAACATCCCTTCACCTACTGCTTCATTTTAGCTTTGTTTTTTTTATAGTTTTTAATGCTTTTAATAATAGTAATGACAATTGTTTTAGATATTTGTTTTAGCTCTGTTGTATGCTGACCAGAGTCACTGGTTTTGTGAGATGGACAGCTATATAAATTAGACAAATAAATAAATATCATCCCAGACCCCTCATCGCAGCTTTTCTACTTGAAGCTGGACTGCTTCTGGACAAAGCATTTTAGAAAGCCGTATCTTCATAATGGACAGCTTCTCTCTGAAGAACTGCCAGAAAAATCATCTCCCATTTAAAAGACTATCAACACATCATCCTCTCTTTGATATGTTCCTCTGTTTGAAGAGCTGCCCATTCCAAGTCTGTTTTAACAATAATGAACTTTAAGCAGGAGGAAGCAGTTGAACAGCAGATGAAGCAGACCCACGTATCTGCTTGTCTTTGCTGCTGCGGGAAACTCTGCTGTTGCTGAAGAAAACTATAGGGATTATTTCCAAATGTGCCTCTATCCACATAAATTAGCACATTACATGCACATGTAAATTGGCCACTCTAGCACCTTTCTTTCAATAAATGCCAGCGCAAAGGCTGTATTCCGTTTTCTTGAAGAAGACATTTTCTGACTAAGCTTCTGGAGCAGTCCAAGGTTGCAAATGGCTGAGGCAATTCCCACATCTATGGGAAAGCAAGTGAGATGAATTGGATAATAATTCAAACAAGGCCCCTAAGAGCAATTTTTTTACTTTCAAAGAAGGCTGCCAAAGGATGTATACATATTCCCATTTACATCTGTATATAACTGTAGCTACGCTACGTTATCAGGGGCAAGCTAGATTATTTCATATCAACGGAATGGGCTGGTTTGTAGACTATTAGTATTAATTATGTTTAAAATCCCAGAAATTTCACTCTTCCAAATACCTTTGCTATACCAAAGGGAAAACAAAGCCTTCTATAATAACCAGAAATACTTTATTATAAAATCTGCATGTAAACAAGTAACAAACATTTAAAGAAAGTGCAAATTAACTTCCAAAAATTGTATTTATTATATATTTTTCTCTTCCCCATCAAACAACTCTTTGAAGTCCACCCACCCCTCCAACCACCTTTAATTTCTAAAAGTTCATTGCTTATGTATAGATCTATCTCCTGTGCAACCTTTGGTAAGTCACTTTGGGCCAGCAATCATGAGATACACTTTGAGGTCCCGCTCAGTCTCTGCAGACACAGCCAGTTTCCTTGAGCATCCATGTCACTTTGAAATGCGAGGGGCCTGATAAAGCTCCAAAAATGCAGCTGAAATAAAACAGCACGACTGCTTCCATCTGGCAAATAAAATCACCCTGCTGCTTCACTTTGATGCGGTGATTTTGACTGAATCACCTTGGCATTTCATCATCCCATTGAAAGGCAGACGCCCGTCAAAGAGAAACGCGTACGAGCCTGCGTACAGCGTTCAGGTTTTTCTCTGCAAAGGAGACACGTTTTATGGCGATGCTTATTTTTCTTCGCTTCTTTTCTGTACCATCGTGTGTTTTTTCCTTTGAATCCCTGATGTCCACAGGACAGCTAGCAGTTTGGCACAGTGAAACTGAAGGGGTACAAAGCTGCTGAATTTTTAGAAATCAGTTCATCTGCTGAAGGGTAGAAACCATTCTACCCCTGGAGGTCCTGTAATCTCGTTTCGCAGTCTTGTGTAGGAACTGTAAGGCATGAAGGAAACAACTTCCCTCCATTCTGTAGCTTCACGTACAAGGTCCTTTTCCCTCACTCTTAACTGCCAGAGACATGTTCACAACACACCCACCCACGCACACTCACATACTTCTAATCTTGCCAAGAGCTGTTTCTAAAGTACGGATAAGTCATGGCAGGACTTGGATTTGGCTTTAAATGCCATCTTCTTGTTATTTTTGGCCACCATTTTCCCAAGGAATCGCTTAGCCTTCTTACTGATGCTCTCTCTCCTCTTTGTGTTGGCCATTCTTCGGGCATTGTCCTCTTTGCTGTCTTTGCGTAGCCGAATCTGCCGGACAATCCCCTCGAAGAGATCTTTGACGTTGTGATGAAGCGCAGCTGAGGTCTCAATAAATTTGCAGTCAAAGACGACAGCGCAAGCCCGTCCCTCTGTGGGGCAGAAGAGAGAAGACCAAGATTAGTTAAACCATGCAGAATCAATACAACACAACCTCTGCTTCTGAATTGGGATGGGAATGGATCATAGGTTAAGAGCTGGAAGCTGTAGGATAGGACAGGGTTCCTCAACCTTAGCAAATTTAAGATGAGTGGACCAACTCCTAGAATTCCCCAGCCAGCCATGGGAGTTGAAGTCCACCCATCTTAAAGTTGCTGAGGTTGAGGAACCCTGCGATAGGAGATTGTGCAAGTGTACAAAGGAAAAAGAAAGGTCCAGCAGATTCCTAGACTAGTCCAAGATTCTCTTATCAGGAGGACAGTGGAAGGAATGCAGATACTGCTTTCTTGGAGCTGAACCTCAATGATGGGGCACCTGTTTTCCATGCAGAAGATCCCAAGTCCAATCTCCAGGAAGAGAATTATTCCCTGAAATCAAGACAGCTGTGGCCAGTCCATATGGACAATCCCAGACTAGAGGTCAACGTATAGTCATAAATCACTATAAGGCAGCTTCTTAGGTTCCTAGGCCTACAAAAAGTGCCATTCGTCCTGGCCTGAGCAGCTTTCCCCAACCTGGTGCTCTCTGTTGGGTTACAAGGCTCATCATTACCTGTCAGGATGCCCTATGGCACAAGCTACTAGTAAAATTGAGACAGGGCAACTAAGTTTATTTTCCAAGGGCAAAATGTGCCCCAGCCACTGGGAAGCTCCACTTCTGAAGGTCCATGGTTCAGCCCTCCACTATCATTCAGAGGTGCATTATGAGTTGGAAACACATAGCAACCATTGCTATGGCTGATAAGAAATTCCACTGTCCACTGCTGTTAACACACACACATACACACAGAAGGGGATTTCTTTCCCCAACTTGGAAAGTAACTTTTTAAACCACCCCCACCCCACCCCATAAACCCACAGGCCTAAAATATTTAGATAAGAAAAAAAGAGAGTTTTTTTAACTGACCAAAGAATTGTTTCCTACTAGATTACTCTATATTGGATCATCAGCAGGGCATAGCAATTGTTTTCACTGCTGAAAATTATGAAGATATGACACCTGCAATGGCATACGGAGATGTACAAGTTATCAGTTGATCTTACAGGCACAGTGGACTGTGCACAGAGGAAGTGGGCCCCAAACAGAATATCTGATCTTTTGGAGCAACTTGTTTCAGTTCTGCCCTCATTACTGGAAAGAGTTAAACAAATTTCTGGATAGTTCACCAACGTACGACTCTCCACTCACTATCAACGGAAACCTGCTAAGTTGATCTACTTGATTGAGTTTATGCTAGAATAATATCTTACCATCTACGGAGACTTCCCGTGATCGGACTAGGTCACTTTTGTTTCCTACAAGAATTATAGGAATGTCTTCTGTTTGTCTTGCCCTTCGTAGCTGAATCCTCAGCTCAGAAGCTTTTTCAAAGCTGACTTTATCTGTCACTGAATAGACGATAATGTACGCATCCCCCATTTTCATACAATGGTTCTGAAGCCACTGGCTTTCATCCTAAAATTAGAAAATAGAAATATAAACATTGGTATTGAATCAATGTCAATTATACCATATTAGACATTATCAACCTTTCAGCTTCCTACTTAAAAATATATATTCTTTTTACATTCTTGTACTCTTGATCAAGTTTTGTTGGGGGTGGCAGTCCATGGTGTGGTGGTTGTAACTTGTTGGATTGTATAGTTCCACCATTGTCTTTCTATGGTTTTAAACTCTACCTTGTAAACTGGGCAGAAAATGTATAGAAATGTCATTAATAAATAAGCTTGACTTATTTGTATGGATTGTAGGGAAATTAAACCATGTTTGCTTGTACCAAATAAAAGGTACTCCTGCAGCCTAAGACAACAGATTCAGGGCTGTCCTATGCAGGGCGGGGTTCAAAAAAGTCAGTAACCATGAAGTCCCACCTCTTTTTAACGTGTTGCTTAGTGAACATGTTACTGAGAGAAAAGGCTCATATCAGATCATACAGTATTTAAAAATCTAGATTCTCTCTGTGTTTGGCTGCAATCTTATACCCACTTATCTAAGAGTAGACTCCACTGAACTCAATGGGCCTTACGTCTGAGTAAATATGCATAGGACTGTGTCATTAAGAGCTGAAAAAGCCTATTCCAAAATTGTGTTTGAAAAAACTGCTGATAAATCCAACCTGTAGTATTTAAAAGGTAAAAATCTGCATTTACTGTAGAGCAAATGCTGACCTTGTAGCACATGTTAAAACGCATTCATGTAGGTTGCAGTTCTAAGAACATTTAATTTGGGGTATTCCCCGTGAGCCTAATGGGGATTATTTCAGAGTAAGCATGTATCGGATTGGACTCCATAGGATTGCTATTCTGTTCTAAAGACTGATCACTAGTTAACACAGTTGGAGAAGTAGATCAGGAAAGGAATCAGATTGGAAACCGAGGTTTCACATGGATCTTAAGCAAGACTTGAAGATGGGTTTTGCAGGGTCAACAAGAATCAAGATCCTGATCCCCTATTATAACTGAAAGTAAACCTTAATCTGTTATATTTAATTTAATTCTGGATTTGTTGAAGCCAGAATTCAGACACAGTGTCAGGGTCCACATATATCACTAACTAATCCTGAAACAAATGAACTGTGACTTAGCATGGTATATGAACTTGACCCATATCACTAACCTTCCACACAAGTAACCTTTGATAGATGAAAATACTGTTAGCCACGAAAAGAGAGATAACTGTAAATAAAATATTTGAAAAAGTAAAGCTTTACCTGCTCCCATATGTCAAACACCACAAGAGAAGCTTCTTCTCCATCAACTATAATGGACCTGTCATACGTATTGCCTGCAAGACAAATCAAGGAGATTTAGGATAAAATGTTTAGTTTACACAAAAGAAATGCAATAATCTATCAGGAAAAACAAAATCCAGATGAAGGCTTTATGAAGCCAACTGAAACATTACAAAATTCCATAAACCTTTCAAGTTTCCAATAATCAATAAATATATATCTCTCCCCCTACACACTTCATTTTTTCCCCTGAATTTTGCCTGGTGAAGCGTCATTGGAAACCCTGCATCCAATTTGCTAAAACTTCAACTCAGCTCATAAATGTACACCTCAATATATTGTTTGTTTATATTTTCTATGACATTTATTGAGCCAAGTAACAGCTTGGAGAACACACATGAGTTTGATCTAACGATAAAACTACACATGTGAAGCCTAAACCTAAAAGAAACAAACACAGTGGACAGCATGTAGGCCAGAAATACCACCATACAGATGGACACAAGATTGTAGACTTAATCTAACTTCTTTTAAAAGTTCAAACTTTTGAACTGGTGCTCAAGCTGGTGTGTTTCAAATGTCAGATGAATTGCAATATAAAATGTTTGAGCTTAGTTGAGCCTGAGAACATTAGAGCAAATGATCTTGTCCATAAAAACCCTACAATTTCAATTATAGGCTGTTTTCAGTTATTTGTAAACCATTCTGACACCGGGGATGATAGGAAAAAGATGTGGAATAGTTGTTACGCCAGCTCTACTTTTAAATTTATTTTCTTTAAGTTTGGATGGGGTAGAGTTGGGATACAATTTTTTTCTATCCAAAATAAAGCATGGATAATGCAGAAATATCAATGATGACATACAATGACATTTAAAAAATCAGAGCTTCTCTCAATACATTTTTCCTAAATATGTTTTTACATCTTTTCTAAGTGTCAATAGACCCATAATCATTTTAGAAGAAAACCTACAAATGTTTTTATAATTCTACACTAATTGGAAGTGGTGAAGACTCTCCAAAAGATTTTTTTTAAGTTTTAAAAGAATATTTAAAAACATAAAGGCATTTTAGTAAATCTAAGTAAGTACTAGAGACAGGTCTGCAAAGACAGATTTACTTAGATGAACTCATTTTCAGAAAAGGAATTTTTTTTGGTACTTCAGAAGTGACGCTGAAACTATTTTATTCTACAAGATAAAAAACCTCTTCCAAGTTGCTCATTAGTATCTCTGTTGTATCCTTACAACTCCTCTGCATGGTAGGTTAGGTTGAAAAATGATAATGTTGAACCTTCTCAGTGATGAGTGATCCAAGTAAGGATTAAATGTTTATTGTGACAGGAAGAACCTATTCAATTTCAGTACTGAATTTTGCAATAGGACAGGGGAAAGATGCCAGTCAACTCACGTACTGCACTCTTTAGATAATTACACAGGCAATTTCTAATTGAAACAAAATGAAATAGGGTTTATTTCTATTTATAATGGGCTCCCTAAAGATGACATTCTCCTAGTGGTAGCCCTCAATTAACCACAAGCTAACTGGCACCCTATACAATCCATGCAGTTAGTGCCCCCATCCCCAAACCCTGAAGGCAAATTTTATTCCCCCCCCCTTGCAATTCTTGCTGCCCCAGGCAACTGCCTAGCCCACCTATATAACCAGGCCACCCCCTGTTCTCCATGCATGTTTTCAACTCCTACCAACCTTGTGCTGGTTGAGGATAAAGAGAACAACGCTCCAAACATTATACATGACTGGAAGTAGGAGAAAGTTGGCTTAAATTACTGCTTCTGCAATGGAAACCTTTGTCCTCCTAGCATATGGTTGGGTAATAAGGGGAAATCACACCACACATGTTCAAACCCTCAAGGAACAAGTTCCTTATACCAATCAGTCCCATTACTCTGATTCCAACAGTTCCTCTGGAATCGGAGAAATCCATCCATGTATTGCTACCTAATTGTTTTGCATGGACAAACTGGAAGATTCATATTTCATTGTTTGCATTTCCTCCTGGAGTGCCCTAAACCTCAAACCTTTGGATTTGATCAGAGATTCCATCCACATCTAAAGTGTTGGCACATCATGTCCACCAGGAAACTCTTTTACACCAAGACCAATCAGAGGTTTATCAGGCTACATGTTTAATCTTCTGCAATCTGGGCAACCTCCAGATGTGTGGACTTGAATTCCCAGAATTCCTAGCAATGGCCAGGCAGGCTGGGGAGTTCTGGGAGTTGAAGTCCACACATCTGGAGGGTACCCAAGTTGGGAAAGGTGCCTTAATGAGGAGGAGAAGCCTCAGAAAGCTTTTTAGGGACTACAATTAACATTTCTTAGCATGTTTTGCGCGTCCAGTGGCTGGGGCAATGATGCAAAGTGGGCAAAGCCGGATTTTTTCCTGAGTTTGGGGGGTTTCGCTGTTTTGAAGACTAAGTTGAGCCTACAATGGAGTTAGAACAAAATTTTTGCATGATGCCAGCTTAAACAAGCCAGGAAACGGGACCACCGATTTCAAGCAGGTATGGTCAGAGGAGGTGGGAGGGATGCGAAAAGAGCGTTTCAGGCGTGGCCCTC